TGTGTGTGTGTGTGTGTGTGTGTGTGTGTGTGTGTGTGTGTGTGTGTGTAAAGGTTGGGTTCACCAGTGTGTCGGACTACCTCACCTACACGTGGGTCAAAGACGACGAAGTGGCCTTCGTTGAAGAAATCATACAGGTAGTAACTCGTGCTGTGAGTTTATTTTGATTAAAAACAAACACTGATGTCGTAAGAAGTCCATCAATGAATCAGAAGTGTCTGTGTTTGTAGGTGTATGTAAGTAAAGAGGAAATCCCAGTGCGGGGAGGAGAGTGCGTGCTGTGCTACTACAGTAATACTCTGCAGTGCATCGTTGGAATCAGTGACGCATTCAAGGTAAGCTCGTAACATCGTCAACTCATCGGGGTGCAACGGATCTTAAAAGTCACGGTTCGGATCAGATCACAGATCAGAGTCACAGATCGGATCAAAACAAAGAAGAAAGGGAGAAAATATAACTTTTAGATCCACGATCACGCTTTTTTGCCGCCGATTCTAATTGCCGATCATTGATGATCAATATTGTTGTTTGATTATAGCAGCTGTTCTACGAGGATCCAGACTTTATTTTTAATTCTTTTATACCACCATCACAAAAATCATTTCAACCGCTCTGAAGTTTGTGTAAACCATGAACAATTTAAAATGTTATCCTTTTACTTTGTTATAGTCGTCTATATTGTTTAAAAAAACTACAAAACACACAATTCAAATACATTTGAACACATCATGATAACGTTGTAATGTACCTTCAGCCAGTACTCGTGTTCACTGAGAAGAGCCTGAAGGCATCATAATGTAACTGAAGTGAACCTGATCAAGTTAGCCGTTAGTGATGCTCTACCTTTAGAATAAAAAACGGATTAGTTGTTAACAATGTAACACTAACGGAGATCGGTGGTCCGTTACGCCCCTATTAACCAATATTAATCCACTAATAGAGGTTTATTTTAAGTCCCTGTTTGACCTGCTGGTCTCTCGTAGGTCCAGGAGTCGAAGGTAGCCAGTGAGGAAGGATTGGTCCCTGAGAAGATCGACGCTCTCGACAAAACCGTATCGAGAGAAGACCTTTGGAACTGATCGATCAGTGTGGTTTGATATAGAAATGGATGTTTTTGGGCCTGAATTGTCCGAAGATTTTAATTCCTGTGGTTTCCTAACTCGCCCCCAAAGGAGAGCGGTTAGGAAGTGCCTTCTGTTCTTGCTGTTACACGTCCTCACTGACCTCTTTACTGCTGCCGGTGTGGCTGTGAAGTTACGACACGTTTAAGGTATCATGGAAACTATGAGCAGTCCTTCATCAACTGACTGAGAAACCTGAGAGTAAGTTTCCCTAGAATGGATTTAAATTTATATTTGTTTCATGTGGAAGAAGTGCCGGCTTTGTGTAATAAAATCACAAACCGTGTGTGTCAACCCTCTTAGGGAAGAACATTTTTGATTTAATAATTTTACACGGTAAAGATCTTAAGGAATAAATATAAAAAACACCACCCAGGTTAAAAAGTCTAGGGCTACATCGTGTGAACACAACATGGCGCTCCAAAGCACTTTATTTATGCTCTAAAATATATTTTAAAAAACAAGTCTGTACAAACGTCAATTAAACAGGAAGCTTAAATAAGTCAAAGTCCAGCACAGTATCTACAAGTGTAGATAAGAAGTGGACGTAGTCGTCGTGACGTCGCTCATCGGTTTGTGGACTGATGAAACAGAAGGTGAGGCATGTTGTAGGATCTGAACACATCAGTCAGTTGATGAAGGGAAGTTCTCCTTTCGAGAAAAACTCCATGTTTTAATGCAGAACTTCATGCTCTCAAAGCGGCTGAAAAGAAAACTTTGAATATTTATCTTCCCCTGACGGCCACAATTAGGAACAGAAAAAAGGGAATTGCAATTTGAACAAAGCTCTTAGGCCATTTCTTTTGTTTGATTCAATGTCAATTTGTTGACATCTAGCAGCAAAATGAGCAAATCAATGTCCACTGCTTACTTAGAAAATATGAAGAAATGAATGTCCTCGAAGCCAGTTTATGGATTTAAAGACTAATTTGCATGTTAATGACAATATGATGCTGGATCAGAAGCTTACATATTTATAGTTAATCTATATTTCCTACATGTTTACTTCAGTCTCATTTAAAGGGCCAGTGTGCAGCACGGCGTGATTGAAGGGGTATTTATTTGGTTGTAATCTGCAGCCTCACCACTAGATGTCACCAGAACATCCCACGCACTGTCCCTTTAAGAGCTTTAAAATAAAGTGCTTGTTCAGGAGATAATCAGAGCGTCGTATAGACGAATCCCATTTCCAAATTCAAGAGTTTTAGAAGTTCAGCAGAACTTTGTGTGTTTGATGGTCCTGCAGACACAAATAGAAGTTAATGACTAGAATAAACCCTTAAAGGCAGAAATAAAGAGATTCAAATTTATTGTTTATTGAACGAAGAAGTTGACAATTTGAAATGTGCAGATAAATACGAGTCCTACAGGACTGATGTTAATCTGCTCAGCCCTGAAAGCATTGCTGTAGTAGGCATGTTTAATCTCTTCTGGGTTTTAGCATGTTATTTTAAAATACTCATATATCATATATTGTGACTTGGCTGCTTTAGGAAGATAAGAGACGACAGAGAGGTTTGGAGTTTCTCCTCACAGTATTTTGATTAACTCCAGTTGTTCCTGGAGGACTTGACGCGTAACTATTTAATACAACGGTTGTTGTGGAGCAGATTACCTGAGGCTCATCTTTTAGCTTGCAGTTGTTAAAACATATATTATTCATTCCCTTTCAATACCCGTCGAGGTATCGCAGTGAATTGGAGAACATGAAGAGTTGTTGCACTGTTTATCGTTGAAGCAAACGTATTTAATGTCACTTTATTGTTGGCGTGTACTGAAGGAATATAAAGATTTAGTTTTCCAAAAACTATACGGATTCAGCAAGTGCCTTTGAAATGACTGTAGCTTTAGTGTACTGTACTCGAGCTTCGTACGATATGTATCGTTAACATTCATCAGATTATTTATCATAACAGCGAGATGTTCACGGCCTCCTCTCGTTCCTCTTGACGATAAACATTGCTGTTCTAAACCTTCAGTGGGATGTTATTGGCTTGCTGGAATCAATTATTAGCCAATTCACGTTTTCCCGTTTTATATTTTGTACTAAAAGAGGCGACCTATTTTCTGAAGTAGAAATAAAATGTAAATGTACCGTAAGAGAATACCAACAGATGTGTAGCTTTGCAAATATTAAATAAGTCTCACTTCATTTGTTGTGCGGTTTACTTTTCTATTTTAAATAATAATAATAATTGTATTATAGCATTAGGTATTGGGTATTGTCATTGGGTGTCTTGATTGTTTTTTTACCTTCTAGCTAATGACTTTGAGTTAAATGTTAAAACAGTCAAATGAAGATGTGATGTGTCGTCGTAACCATTTGTCAACGGACAGAAGACGGCCGAATGGATACATTTGGGGGGTTTCAGCTGCACGTAACAAGGTACGCTCAAAGTCTTTGGTATTTACAAATAAGTTGTGTAGAAATTTAAACATTTTTTCTATTTTATTTTATTTCAGAGGCCTTTTAAGTGATTTGTAATAAGTGTCTTTTTGTCTGTAGTTTAAGTATGTTGGTATTTTTCATCCTGTATCTTTAATCTGCTCGTCCATTCCAATGTTTCAGTCTTGGGATTCTTTTGCGAGCAGAGATTCAAAACAGTATTTATGATAAAGTCTAGTTTCTAGAAGTTTCTAGTAATGGAATGGACATTCTTTTATATATTTCACGCTCTCTGAGCTCAGATTGACGTATTTTTACAGTTTTGTGTCCGCGTAGCTTGATAAAATTCTCCTTTATGTCTCTGTCCTCTAGATTCTAGAGGTCTGCTGGTCTGCAGAGGACCAGAGAAGACCTCCAGCTGGTCTTCACAGAGAATAAACATGTTCTGAGTTCGGCTCGGTGTCCCTCCAAAGAGCGAGCCCACGATCCATAACAGTCCCAGCTGCTCGTCGAGGTCCAGCAAGTAAGTCCCAGTACGGCAAGTTGTTTTAACATTTAATAGATTTAATGTCTCGTAGATATAATTTATTAAATGTTTCCTGGTCAAAATTAACATTTCAGATATCCTCAATCCAATTCTTCCTCGAAAAATAATCACGCTTGTCTTTTATTTATCTGTCAAATACATCTACAATCCAATTCTTGATTTTATTTTCAGAACTCCAAAATTAAAAACATTATCCGTGATATAATTTTGAATATCCAACATATATTATGACCAGTAAACATGTCATTCGGGATTGTTTTTGCAGATATCCACGATATTGATTTCCAAAAAGATGAATATTTGCCAAAACGGCTCACTTCAGTTACGACTAGTAACAATTGGATTGTAGAGATATGAAATGGGAGTTTTTCCACATTTTTAATGTACAGGTTGTTCATTCTAGATATCAAAAATGTAATTGTGGATATTTTAAATTGAAAGCTCAATACATGTCTGACAGAACTGACGTAATTGTTCCTCAGAAGAATGACTTTGTGGATATCTGAAATGTTCTTTTTGA